TTTGAGTAAGTTGGTAAAATGAGGAAACCCTTTTTCATTGACTGCCATTAGTTTATTGTTTGAAAAGCTAATTTATCCAAACTCTAAAACAGGGAGAGGCATTCATCATCTGCAGGACATAACTGACTGAGCGTGTCTTTGTTTAAAAGTAATCCCAGAAAACGAGAAGTTCTTTTAGTGCTGAAAATGCGAAATTAATCTCAGACCAAACTCTGTATATAGAAGTACTGACTCCTATAGTTCGGACCTTACTCCTCACTAAATAATGAGTTTGGATCAAACTTTAAAAGGTCACATATTATGCAAAATACACTAAACTATATTTTTTCCAACACTAATATCTCTAGTCCGTCTACAAACCGCCCAATTATGATAAAAGTCTGTCCTCTCCATCTTTTGCCTGCTCTTCTTAAAAAAAAATAGAAGTGAGCTCAAACAGGCCGTTTGGAGATGTTCCCTTCATGACATCACAAAGGGCAGTAACCCCTCCCCCAGGTGGGTGACACTCCCACAGCTAGGTGTTTGTTCTGCCCTCTTAGTCTGCCTTCTCACTGTAAACAATAGGGCATGGAGCGAGAAAGCCGAAGCACAACCACTTCCAGAGAGGGGTCAGACACAGATCATTTGCATTTAAAGCTACAGACACAGAAACAGCCTGTTCTGAGCAGGGCTGAAATAGAGCGGTTTATAGGCATGATACAATACAGTGGATTTTTAACAAGAAACTTCACAGACAGGTTTTGGGGACCTCTGAGACTTATTTAAATTAGCTGAAAAGGAGTATAATAATGTGACCTCAAAGTCTCTGTTGTCAGAGCCTTTTTATAAAATTCTGCCACAAAAGTGAGTTGTCTCTCATTATAGAGCCCACACAGCCAATCATTTAAAAAGGAAAACCTTTTTCTTTAACACATGCCATGTTCTCTTGAAATACGCTGCCTTGCTGAGTTATGCTTTATTGCTGTGATACTGGAGTAATCTGATTTACTGCTGCATGTAAATGTGAGTTCTACATTACTGGACAAACATGTTCTCTCATTTCCAGTCTTAATCTATTTTCATCAGTTAACCTGATTACTTGAGCGTTAACCTGATTACTTGTAATGGCAGTGACAAAGGTCATGCACCAGCAACCACTGTTCCAGAGAAGTAAAATTACGACTGTGCAGTTAGAAATGACAAATTCACCAGGTGCTGTACTTGGACCACTGTGTTATCTGTGAAAACACCAATCGGTCTTTGAAAATGGGCCGGTGGCGGCACTAAATCAGGCGGTGGCGGCGGCGGCAGTATCCAGTTTTTGAATGCAGGAAAAACCCTGAGCTGGTTCTCTTCCTCATCTTTTGTTTAAAAAGATAAAATAACCATTCATACAGCATTCAAAGTTATTGACACTAATTACAAATGATCATTAAATTGTGATCCTGACCAGGTGCAGTGTATGACGTTTTATAAAATGATATATCCCAGAAGCATCGCAAAGCATATTTTCTTTAGCCCCATAGATAACATGGTCCTTTGACAGGCTAAAATCTTTTGTTTTTGGCTAGCTATAGTCATTTGTTGTCATTTTAGCACTCGGCTGCAGTGTCATTTTTTTCTCTCGGTCAGTGGGTTTACAACGTGTGACAAATTGCTCTGCCACGTATGAAACAAAGAGACTTCTTCCACTTCTTTTTCATAGCCTTTGTGTCACACCCAGGTTTAGCAAAAGGGTATCAGAGCTGATGTGGAAGCTCAGGATGCGAGAGGGATCAGGATAGGCAGATCTGGTCACAGTATCAGCTAGTTACTTAACTGGATACACACTTAGAAATTGGATATGGATGTGAGACCATTCCCCAGTGTTAGCATAGCTCAGTAGATGAATCTCATCTCACATTTGATTATTTTTGGAACTGCTGTGACCTTTTCTTGATTTGAACATTTTTATTCTCGGCGAGTATCTTGGCTCGCTTCTTCACACTGCTGACGAGATACAAAAGCCACTTGTCTTCAAGGTCAGCTTAAACGAGTGCACATACACTTATGTGTTTGTGCGCACACACACACACACACACACACACACACACACACACACACACACCCACACCCAGGACTCGGAAATAAGACACTGTGTTCACTCCTTGAGCTCCATTTTAACCTGCTTGTTTAAACAATCTGGCCAGTACCAGAAAACCGCTCCGTGTGTCCAGGTCCTTGTTTGGAACGCGTTAAACGAGGGGCTGCTAATGAGGGTGTTTTGTGCGTACCGCGGTGCCATGCGACGGCTTTGACATTTTGAATCTTTCGCTTGCTCGGCTCAGGCAAAGGCAGAGGGCATTCACATATGTCCCTGTGGGATTCCGTGTGTGCAGTGAGAGGATTTGAGCAGTGCTGCTGGCAGTGTTGGCCTCGCACTGCCCTTGTCCTTGTGGACTGAAGGAGCATGCAGGATGCAGACCTAATGTTAGTCTCAGTGGCAGTTTCCTCTTCACACTTAATTTCACTTTACTCCGCGTGCTGCGTCAGCATCAAGGCGATACTCCAGTACATGGTGTCTGTGTTGCTTTGATTGACATCCGCCGTCTGGGACATTTTGTCATGGAAAATAACATCAGCTTGTACATTTGCTTGAAATGCAGCAACTGATTTTTGAGGAATGGAGGACAAATGTTTTCTCTCTTATCTTCCTCACCCAAATGTACTTTTTCTCTGAGTAAAGTGCATTTATTTGCATGTATAATACATGCTTTGCTTGATGTTTGTTTCAGCTGTTTATCAAGAGTCACTTCTTTCTCTTGAGCTCGATTTTGCAAAAATGTTACCAAGAAATGTATGTTTTTTTGTAGTGTGACAATAACAAGAATTATATTTTTTTAAATGAACCAATCTGTAAACAGGATTATTTTGCTGTAAAAATGGATTTGGGCGTTAAAGGGACTTCTGGGGCTTTTGGAGGCAGCCTCAAGTGGAACCACCCAGATCTGGAATTTTTTTGCACTTCCACATTGGCTTCATTTTTTTCAACACTTAGTGGTTGCCAATTGGTTTGATCACAGAGAGTTACCATGTCGCCATTGGATAGTACAGGCACAACAACTATGTAGCAAAATAACAGAACAGAACAGAGTTAATCATTTATGATGGTCATTTAGATTAAAATGGAACATATAACAAGTTAAAATTAAAGTGAAGAGTATGTTAGAGAAAAGTTTGATTAGTAGAATGTGAACTATTACTGATAAGAGATGGGCGATATGCTAATATCGGCTGATATTATCGGCCGGCCAATCAATCGGTTGGGCTCTAGATGGAATATCTAACTTATTAAGTCAATGAAAAGTCAGTTATTTAAGTGTTTACTTCTCAGTAGCTTCTAACTGAATCTGTGTGGTTTTTAAATGTTGTTTCTATCATGCAGAGTTGTCAATCTGCTGCAAAAAAACTTTCCTGATAAGACTCTATGTGGCCTTATAAGACTTTATCTTAATAAAAGCGTCTCAACTGCTTGAAAAGTGTGGACTTTTGTTGTGAACGATTTAGCTGTAATTAGCAGTTTTAGTCTTTACAGCGCTCCTTTTACTCCGAGTCAGAGCCACAGTCCGCTTCTTTTAATAATATTGGAATAAATACAAACCTTTAAGCAGGTAGACCTGTTGCAATGCAGATGGAAATCCATTCCAGCACATAGCCAGTGTCAAAGCCCCAGACGGACCAAAAGAGACGCTCTACAGACGAGAACAACCACCTTAACATTATGTGCCAAAACGTGTAGCGGGGCGAATACAAGTTTGCCTGATTGTTGTTCCAGACTCTGACTCTAGGAGCAGGTGGAGCCGTCATGTTTGTGTGAGACCACATGGCTCTGTTCAGAGTGCAGGAGTGAAACATGCAGGAGACCGGAGGACTCATCGGAGCTGATTTGTGAACCGTCACAAATCACTGTTTAACACTACTTCTATTTACCCTCCAACGTGGCTGGTAGGTTGAGCAATGAGTGCTGCCTCCTGTGTACTTTATGACCAAACGGTGATGACAGGATGGCAAAGTCCATGTCGTGGCAGACCGTAATACAGGTGACCCTACTGAAACCAGTTTACTGCACACCCCCATTACTGATCCAGGACTGACTCAGAAATAAAGAAAACAAGTTTATTGATGAGTTACAGCCGGGTGCGACTTTGTGTGTGGTGTCTCTTATGTGTATATGTGATTATGTGATTATGTGAATATGTGCAGCGTAGTGTATGTGTGTTGGTTTCGATTTTATTTTTTTGCCAGAAGGCCAGTTACAAAGACTGGCTTCCTAAATCCCATTTCGTCACAAACACAGACAGATAATCCCCTCTCCCTCCACTCAGTGTGTAGTTTCATGTAGAAATGTGAACACACCTCATGTAGTTGTCAAGTAATTAATTTAAATGAAACTTCAGCTGCAAGGTGAGAGAGAGAGAGCTAGCCCTCTGGTGGGTATTTAGCATGCTAGTTGTCTTGTGTTTGCAGGCAGCTGCTGGCCGTTAACCGTTGGTTGATTTAGAGTCCCTCAATGACTCACTTGTTCTCTCGGTATGCAGATGAGTTTGAGAGCAATTCTGTTGCTCTTGTCTGTGCGCCTCCTCTCAGTGTAATTTGTCTCGGCATATCCAGGGAGGGTGATGGGAGATGTAAGGTTAGGAAAATGTCTCTTTTGCTTGCTGAGGCAAACAGTCACTATTCCCAAAGGTGAGAGCTGAAACCTGCTCTGAGGTATCACTGCATTGTGTTGCTTGCTTAAAGAGGACTGCAGTATCATAGGCTTCACTATTGATTTGTGAAGTATATCAGTGTTATTATTTCTCTGTGCTTGTAATATGATGATATCTTTATTTGTTTTGTTTGGAGGTCAACTTAATGATTACTTATTTTCTTGTACTCATGTAATTTTGTATTTTCTTGTCTTTCCTGTCCTTCTTCATTCCCTTTATGATCAACCCCCACGCCTCCTCCCTCTTTCGCTTCACCCTTCTCCCTCTCCAAAGTTGTCGCCCGGCGGTGGATGTCTCGTCGCCTCCGCCTGAGGTCGGAGGCCAGTTGGAGTCGGGAGGTGGCTCCTGGGCTTCAGCAGTGATGCGCGCTTCAGTGGCAGGCTGCAGGATGAGCGTGGGCGCGCTCCTGAACGGGCTGCTGGTCTCTGTGGTCGCAGCGCTCCTTTGGAAGTACTCCAAGCTGAGCGAGCACGCTGCCCTGCTGGAGGAAGAGCTTCACATGACGCGGCAGTCCCAGGAAGTCTCTCAGGCCCGCATTGACTACCATGTGGCCCTGCAGGCTCTTCAGAAACACGGCACCAACATGGTCTGCACTGGGAAGATGCACACCGACCGCATCTGCCGTTTTGACTACCTCTGCTACAGCTCAGAGGCCGAGGAATTTGTGTTCTTCCACTCCAACTCCTCTGTCATGCTGCCTAACTTGGGGTCGAGGCGCTTCCAACCCGCTCTGCTGGACTTGTCTTCAGTAGAGGACCACAACACCCAATACTTCAACTTCTTAGAACTCCCAGCTGCTACTTTAAAGTATATGCCTAAGCCTGTGTTCGTACCAGATGTAACACTGATTCTTAACCGGTTTAATCCCGACAACCTAATGCACGTGTTCCATGATGACCTGATCCCAGCTTTCTATACGATGAAACAGTATTCAGACTTGGATGATGAGGCGCGTTTGGTTTTCATGGAGGGCTGGGGTGAAGGCCCACACTTCGACCTGTACCGACTTCTCAGCAGCAAGCAACCTCTCCTCAAAGAACAGTTGAGGAACTTTGGCAAACTCATGTGTTTCACCAAGTCTTACATCGGTCTGTCCAAGATGACCACCTGGTATCAGTATGGTTTCGTCCAGCCACAGGGGCCCAAAGCCAACATGCTGGTGTCGGGAAATGAGATCCGTCAGTTTGCCGTGGCTCTTATGGAGAAAATGAACATCACAAGGGCGGAGGAGGTTGAGAGGGAAGGAGCGAGTGCGGAAGATGAGAAGGAAAAAGAGAAAAAGGACGAATACGTCGTTGTGTTTAGTCGTTCAACAACGAGGCTGATACTGAATGAAGCAGAGCTAATCATGGTGCTGGCCCAGGAGTTCCAGATGAGAGTGGTCACTGTATCCCTGGAGGAACAATCGTTCCCCAGTATTGTCCAGGTAATCAGCGGTGCTTCCATACTGGTCAGCATGCACGGGGCTCAGCTGGTCACCTCGCTCTTCCTCCCCAGGCGAGCGACTGTTGTGGAGCTCTTCCCTTTTGCTGTGAACCCGGAGCAGTACACGCCCTATAAAACCCTGGCCTCCCTTCCAGGCATGGACCTGCACTATATCTCCTGGAGAAACACCATGGAGGAGAACACCATCACCCACCCAGACAGACCGTGGGAGCAAGGGGGCATCGCTCACTTGGAGAAGGAGGAGCAAGAGCGAATACTCGCGAGCAAAGATGTCCCCAGGCACCTTTGCTGCCGCAACCCAGAGTGGCTCTACCGGATCTACCAGGACACTTTGGTGGACATCCCTTCTTTCCTGGAAGTCCTCAAAGAGGGAATGAAAACAAAGCCCAGCATGAAGAAGTCAAAGACGGCAAGCACAGTCCACCCAGGGCGGGTCAGAGAACCACAGTGTCAGACCTCAGTACAAACCACTAACGAGGCGAAGCTCACCGTGTCTTGGCAGATCCCGTGGAATCTAAAGTACCTAAAAGTGAGGGAGGTCAAGTACGAGGTTTGGATCCAGGAGCAGGGAGAGAACACCTATATGCCTTATATCCTCCCCCAACAGAACTACACTTTTTCAGAAAACATTAAGCCCTTCACCACATACCTGGTGTGGGTGAGGTGCATCTTCAACAAGAACCTCCTGGGCCCTTTCGCAGATGTTCTCATGTGCAGGACCTAGGGCAAGCACCTTTCCTGTTGGTTGCTGCGCAGTTTCACACAGAAGTGGAGTCCTGCCTGTTCCAAACAATCATGATGGAAATTCTGTTTTTCCAACACAGGTGATATGGCTGTTGAACTATTGCAAGGTCATGTTTCTTTGGCCTCTAAATGAAACATAAAAGACTTGTGGATAAATTGCAAAACAAATTAAAAACTTGAAGCACAGGGTCTGAACTCAATGGCAACAGCCATTATTGAATGGAAATGTTATTTCCTGCACCTTTGAAAGAAAGAAAGAGCTAAACCGTGTCTGTACGGAAACTCCCAGAATTCAAATCAACAGATTTATTTATGTGCAAAATAATATATAATGTTTCTATAGTATTAGTCAAAAACACTGATTCTTAACCTTTTACAGTATGCAATGTAGCTTTTCTGTTGAGAGAGATTTTTTAGAATAGAGAGACTTTTTATGTTTCTGACTTGTCTAGTGTCGTGTGTGTGTATGTGTGTGTGTGTGTATGTATGTGTGTGTGTGTGTGTGTGTGTGTGTGTGTGTGTGTGTGTGTGTGTATGTGTATGTGTGTGATACCTGTGTGGCTCATTTCCCTATCAATTGTTCAATTACATCCTCAGTATTCTGCAGAAACTAGCCAAAACCAAAGCAACTTTTTCCACCTGATTTCAGCCAATCATCATTCATGCCATTACCTTCTTATGTTATAGATCTCTCATACCTCTGATGTTGACTTAGAAACTGTACATGTTGTGTCAAAAAGTTTCCAGGAGGAGGTTTAATGAATGCCATGGGTAATATTGTTGGAGTCAGAATACTGAATGAGCCTTTTGAAAGAAAGACAAACTCGACGCAGCCACAAATAATTCAAGTCCATTTTAATGCATGAATAAAAGATTTTTTCTAATTGTCACACAAATTACATCTGTTTTAAAGTTCTGAGTGAATCTGTGACCATAAGTTATAATTAGTAAGCTGTTCTCAAACGCTGCTGGAAAGTTGGATTTGAATGTGAACGTGTTAAAGCATCTTTATTATGAGAAGGCATGATGCCACATAGTTCAGATGTCTGTCCAGCTCTTGTTATTAGATTAAACAAAGTTACTAATTATGTATCACTTTACAGTTTGAAATGTTTTCTAGCTGGTCAGAAGAATTCAGCTGTTGCATCTTCAGTTGAAACAAAGGACGAAGCGGGGCTGCCCCTGCTGGTCGACCGAGGGTTAGTTGATTTAAAAGAACAATTAAATTGTCTTCATTTGTTTAGTTGCAGAAAAAAGCCACAAGCTCTGTCTAAGAGCTGCACCTTTTCTTCTTCTGTAAGGCCCATCTGACGATTATTTTAACAATACTGTAGATTAATTGGGTGATTATATTTTTTAATAATTTGATGAATTGGATTTTAAAACATTATTATTATTGCCACCCGCGTTCAAAACCAGAACACAGTTGAACAAGCAACAACGGGTTGTTATTGCAACGTCCCTGAGCTGTGACACAAAATGAAATGATGAACCCTATAAAAGCGGTGAAACTGACCACCAATAATTATTTTCCCAGATTATTTCTCAGTGCTTACACAGTAAAGCAGTGCTCTCATGTGTCAGAGGACCCACCCCCAACTCATTCATGAAATATCCCAACCCAAATTTTTCAACAATCAGATTTATTTAACGAAACATTTGTGCAGTTTGGACTTAACACAGTGCAAAATGTGACAAAAAAAAAAGGAAAAAATATGTTTTAGTAGCGCTACACGGATTTTCCTGACACAGGCAAACATTCGCGACCCACCTTAAACGGCTCTGCTTCCGACCCACTTTTGGGTCCTAACCCACCGTTTGAGAACCACTTCTCTAAAGAACTCGGCTCCTCCACAGTATCCTACAGTAAGGTGCTGAATTCTGTTAACATGCAGCCTTCATCCTCTCAGCTCTCTGTTCTGCCCTCCATACAGCAAACCATCTCATTCACAGGTCAACACATACTGAGGCGTGGTCACCTGCCTTTGTCATTTCATAAAGACGCACAGGTTACGTTAGCGGTGCAGACAGACGGTGATGATGTTCTTTGTCCCGTCTGCAGACTGTTGGCTACGAGCTCCGCATCACAACACGATGACTGACAGCCGGGAATGTCTACATGATGAAAAGATCTGAAATAACAGACAGATGTTCTGGATTAGGAGGGATAGTTGAGATTGAATATTTTTAAATGGGTCTTAACTCTTTTTTTTCTTTTCTTTTCTGCTTTTCATTGTGTTTTAGATGAGTTAGTATGTGCTCATTTACTCTCTCTGTACTGGCACTGTGCACTGGTTGGTTATAGGCCTAGGCCTTTTTTATTTTCTATTTTTAAAAGAGTAGGGATGTACTGATGCTTCAGTTTAACATCAGTACTGGAAGATTTTGGCCCTGTAGACAGACATTGGCCCATCTTCAAATAAGGTGGCATGAACCGATGTCAGCAGCCGATGGTTATCTAATATGTCATATCAATGAAATTCTGGCATCTAGTACACCAAACTGCTGATTCTGATAATAGTTCATAAGACTTTTATTGGGCTGAAGAAGTCACATGTTGGACCAACTCTGACATGGTCCAACATGAGAGAAAATGTCGGCCCGCAGGGAGTTTAACACCTTAAAAAAATAAATGAAACACACCAAACATCGGAATCAGTACCCACCCTGATTTTCACAATCGTTGCATCTCTATATCGTAGTTGAAAATAAATGTTCCATCCTCTGGCTAATCTTTTTAGACACATTTAGAGATGAGCAATGTTGAAGAAGCACAGTAGGGTTTCCTGGCACAGCTTCACAGACTAACAAGGTGCATGGAGAGTGGACGGCTTGAAGCTCCACCATCACTTGTGGTATGAAGATCACCTTTATTCACTTTGTTAGACCGACACGTTTCAGCTCCTGAGCTTCACCAGGGTCATCCAAAATGAGATATTCAATTACCATTGTTGTTAGGTTGCAATGATTCAAAGGCTAATTTAACATTTTGTTATAGTTCTCTGTAATGAAGCACACTGTTGACACTGTTACATGAAACACACTTTAACAACCCTGAAAGTCAAACTGTTATCTGATGCTCCAAAAAAAAAAAACAATGATCAGTACACAAGGAACAGGACGTCTTTGGTCAGGGGCAGCCCCACACCCACAGCTGTGAAACGTTTTATTGTGTCATGTTTTAAATGCTGCTTCTTTGTAGCTAGACTGCAAAATGTATTTAGTTTTTTTGACACTTGAATTCGAGTTTTGAGTATATTGTAGAATAGATGTAGCAAGAGATGTTTTATGGGATGGCACATTTCCACCAACCTATCCTGTTTTTAGTTACCATTGTTTAGACGTCATGTCTGTTTTCATTGCTTGATTACTCTCTTTGTAATGTCTTCAAGATCCTTTTGACCCCACATCTTCATTTATCCTTTTGCCAAACATCCCTTGTGTCACTTTTTTCACAGACATTGATATTTTTCCGCTAAAGTTCTCAAATGCAGTTGTGTCTGTCGATGCATGTTTAAGAGATTATTTTGAAGCCATTGTTGTGGATGCAGGATGCGATGGTTTGGTACTGTATGTGTTTGTATTGTTGGCTATCTGCAAGGCGTCGTACAGTATGTGCTGAGTGAAACGAGAGTCTGTTTTCTATATTAGCGAATAGTTTGAGTTTCTTTTTTCAGTAACCGTGCTGTGATTGAATTAAAGAAGCATATTTCTTACAGTACCTGTTTTGTGTCAGAACATTTTGTGAAAGCGTCTGTGAATGGGATGTTGTCTTGCAGACAGCAGCACTTGTAGAGAACTCTGGGAAAGTCGCACAGTACAGGTAAAACATGTGACTCATGAAGGCTGATTAGACTTTTATGTGCAGCTCAAGTACAAAAATAGAAGAAGAAAAAAAAAAAATCACTCTTGAAATGTTAATTTCAAAATTCATTATGGTTTACAGCTCTTGTTACATAACAGTTTAATGTGTTTTATCAAATAGCTGCAATCCATAACCAGGCGATAAAGCAGGCGAATTAGAAATTAAAGAAACTAAACACACAAGCTAAACCGTACATTTCCACACATGCACTGCTGAAAATCTCTCGAACATTTCTGGACAGCCTGCACTTGAAACCTTGGTTATGTCTCACAGCGAGATGTTTTCCCTGTCGGTCTCAGGAGGCTTATAGAGCTACTCTGTTATTCTGAATGAAGGAGATAATAATCTCAGAATTATGAGTAACGTGGTGCTTGCATTTCTCAACACAACACCAGCGCCTCAATTGCACTTCACAGGGATCAAGTATTTTCAGCAGTTGCCTTTTTGTGTTTTGAGTCGTCACATAGCCAGCCTGAATGAATTTCAGATGCTCATTTTTTTTGTGTGAAACTCGGAAATTGTGCTGCGCCTGTCTTGGCCAGACCACTCTTGTTACTTTTCTGGTTAAAAAACAATCACATCACATTACAGGCAGTGAGGCATTTCTTATCAGCACTCCTGACAGATGAGAGTGGGGTTTTGCATCTGAACTGCAGAGAACTAATAACGAAACCATCTACAGTATAACCGTTTTCACATTTGCACTCCTGAAAATATCTACATGATTTCAGGAGGATTACTCCAGAGATTCTCCTGACCTGGTTGTTCACATATGCTCCTCACAGCGGGAGACTATCCCTGATTCCAGGTGAAACTTGGGCTGTTTTCGTTCACACATACAGCTCCTCCGCGAGTTTTTCAGGAGTTTTCTTCAAGTGTGAAAGCCCTATATGTTGCCTTTAGACATGAGAATCTCCCCATGTGTCAAGAAGAAGATTTACTTTATTGATCCCTGTGAGGGGAAATTTCAGTTTTTACACTCTGCAGTCGTGCAACACACACATAGGCTGAAGTATATACATAAGTGCACACAAACAGGATCATATGGACGTGCACTAATGGAGAGATGTCAGAGTGACGGAGCTGCCCACAGTGGGCGCTCCTGAGCTGATGGTGGGGAAGGGGTTGGTGCCTTGCTGAAGGGCACCTCGGCAGTGCTCAGAGGGTGATCTGGCACCTCTCCAGCTACCAGACCAACTTCCAAACTTGGTCTGCACTGGGACTTGAAACCGTCGACCCTCCGGTTCCCAACCCAAGTACCTACAGACTGAGCTACTGCCGCCCAAACCAAGACCAAACCAAGACCAAACCCAAACCAAGATAAAACTGGGTTACACAAAACAGTCTGGGAATGTTTGTTAATTTAAATGGTCTAAATGAGATTCTCTGTTGGGATTTTGAAGAACCTGTATCACGTTAATTATTTTAAAAGAAAAATAGAGACGATTGTATTTCCTCATGTGAATAAAATACACTTAGGTACAGTTTAGAGTATGTGTGAAAACAGCAGTTTAGTTCTGGGTAACCCAGCTACTGGTTTTTGCTCAGGTTAAACCAGCCATGGTCCTATGTTATGTGTCATTTACCTCACAGGTGAGAGGTTTTTTTTTTAGATTTTTAAGATTCTTCTTATAACTAACCTAAAATAGTTGGGTGGCTTGGGGGAAATGTTCTAAATAAGTGCTGATGAGCTTGAAAAAGTAGGGGTGAAAGTCATTAAAGATGTACGGACACTCATTAAAAAATGATAAAGGCAGGCTTGGAAAGCATCCATGAGAGGTGTGTGTCTGCCAACTTGAAGCACCCTTGAAAATGTTGACTGAATATACAGTTCTTCTGACTTTGAGAGTACAGTATACTTTAATGTTAAAGGTCACATTATGAAAAATACACTTTTCGATGTTTTTCTACTTGTGATATAAGTCCATCCTCTTCATCTTTCGTCTGCTCCACTTTTCAGAAAATGTGTGCTCAAACAGGCCGTTTGAGGTTTTCCCTTCATGACATCACAAAGGGCGGTAACCCCGAGTATCTTTACTGCAGCAAGTCTGAGTGGGCTGATGTGAGAACGCCGCAGGATATTCTCCGGGGAATTCAGCTCGAGCCAATAGGAGGGAGAGTGACGATTCTATCCTGATTCTATCGATATATAAAGGTCTATAAGGATATAAATATTGTCATAACAGCGTCGTATAGAGGACTGTGTTGCTTTGTGCGCTACCTCCGTGTTGGTCTTACCTCAGGTGCGAGGTAAACGTGACGTAAAAAAGTAGTGCATATGTGAAAATTGCTTCACTATGAGGCTAGAGACAGTCTCATCAGAACTTTGAGTCTCACTCACTTGTTTATAGTCACTGGGTCTTTTTTCAATGTTTATTTCTAACAGTTTATCAACCTTTAACAACTTTATCTCTGAAGTAGTTGCTGAGAACTGAGAACATGGCTACTCTGATCTGAGCGTGAGCATTCTTCTGTTAAAATGACTTTAAAAACATGTTGAAAAGTGAAAGGTTTCCCACTATTTTAAGTAGTTTATGAAATGTTTATGTTTGGACTAGATGGAAATCTGCGTCTGTCACAAGATTCATCACATTTTCAGCGTTTTCAAGAAGCGTCTCATTTATAGAAACTAAAATGATTGTACTATCTACCGATGTTTCTGTAAGGTTCTCCTCCTGTCAGGTATTAAATAACTGTCAGCATCCTGTTTCACAGTCAGACCTCTGTACAGCCTCAGTACCTGCGCATACACAGTCTTTTTTTTTTTCTTCTTCTGGGGAATATTTATAACTGCTCTACTTATGATGTCTCTGAACCTTCTAGTTAACACCGCACAGCCCATAAAGCGCTGAATAAATGTTTTTTTAAAAGAACAATAAATGACGTTGACATTGTGTCTTTGCAGGATTTCCCACACCACCACAAGATTACTTTGAATTTTGAACTTTTGAACAAAAGGATGTATCTGACATGTTGATGCTTTAGAAGATTTTGACCTTTTCACTGCGATTATATCCTGCGTTCTCTCATCAGCTAACTCAAACTCGCTGCTGTAATAAATACTTCGGGGCTGGCAGGACAAACTCCAGGTGAAGTCAGAGTGAAATATTTTTTTGCATTCACACTTACATCTCTTCCTGCAAATATCAGGGGGGTTTTCAGGAGTGTGTACAAGCATGAAAGTCCTATAACAATACAAATCCTTTGTGGTAAAGGAGGTTAAAAGTTTTCATTGTATGTACAGTACAATGGGTGTTCAACAATATGCAAAAAGATCCCAGCTAAAGGTCTTTGAGTTTTAAAAGTCCCCACAGCAGCACAGGAGAGCTATCAGGTCTCCAGGACCATGGGCATGATTTTCCCGGTCAGCTTCTCTCTTCAATTCCCACAGTGCTCTCTGTTCCCAAGGCTATTTTCTGCTAGCTTAACCGCAGAGACAAGATGCCGCCTGACAGGTGCAGATGGGCAGCGCGGGGCTAAGTGACAGTGGCCTTTCCTCGATGCAGGAGTAGAGGCAGCACCGAGAGATGGACTGCTGTGTAATGGACTGTGTGTGTGTGTGCACGTACATATAAGAGTAGGTGGGTATGAAAGGGGAATACATCAGCCACGTATTTCACAGGGTGCATATCTGTGAGGATGAACGTGATCCGTGCCTCAGATGAATTGCAGACCTGATTTTACATCTCACATGCATCGGGGACATAAGTGTTTTTCTCCGTTTCTTTGCAGGAGTTGAATATTTCATTGACTCTCCAGAGTACATTTGTCATCATTAGTGTTGTAATTACCTGAAAATCAATCTGTCCCCCCCCCCTCCAATCAGTGTTTCATTAGATTTGGTGTTCCCACTGAGGTAAGAAGGCTGTGAATCCTGTTGCATGTTTCGTACTGTGCCAGAGCACTAGTTTTTTTTAAACATTTTAAACAGCGTCTAGAACCTTTTTGCAAACTGGGTTGCAAAAAGAAAAAGGAAGAAGCTGTGATTCGTTCACAAAAAAACATTATTTTTTAATGGATGACCTCCGATGATTTATAATTGAGAACCAAATCATTTCAGTCAGTAAAAAAAGATTCTCCTCACGATTTGGATGATGGTAATGCAGTCTTGCTTGGCTCCAGCCTTTCAAAACTAAATTACCGGTTAATTTGATCTGACATTCATGGAGCATGAGTGGATTCAAGACGGCTTTTCTCTCAGATCACATCAGACACCTGGCCCTGCAGGAGTCCCGCAGGCTGCAGGAAGATGAAGATAGAGTCAGAATGAAACAAACAGAGAACTTTTTAGTGGAGGAAATAGAATCACAACGTCAAGAAAATGTGGTTAAGCTCGTAATTATATATATACTGTATATATATATATATATATATATATATATATATATATATATATATACTGTATCCTTTGTAGATTTCAGAACACCCTGTCAGTAGATACCTCAGTGATTGTAGAGGTCCATAATATGTTATATGTTGCATTGGTTCAAATACAAGGTTTTTTTTGTATTCCCCTTAGAATATACAGTAAAAAAGGGTTGTCTCACATTGGGGCTCCAGACTTTTAAAAAGCCCATATACGTTCACAATAGACGGAACCTATAGTATCAGTAAAGGGAGTGTACCTCTCATTGGTACACGTGGGGGCTAAACATCACCTCCCTCATCAAGAAAGGACAGCAGAGGATGTACTTCCTGCAGCAGCTGAAGAAGTTCAACCTGTCAAAGACCACGATGGTTCACTTCTACATTGCCATCATCGAGTCCATCCTCTCCTCCTGCATCACAGTGTGGTACGCTGCAGCCACAGCAAAGGACAAATGCAGGCTGCAGCGCATCATCCACTCTGCAGA